ATCCTATTTACATGATGTACAAAACAGGCAAAGCCAATTCATGCCATTCAGTCAGGGAAGCGCTTCTTCTGGGCCTGGTACCCGGGGTGGGGGCAGCGGCGCTTCTGAGGGCTGTGGGTGCTGATTTTTACCTGGTGCTGCTTTCATGGTGTGTCCTGCTTGTGCAAATTCATCAAGCATACTTTTCCATACACACACACACAACTATGCAACTTCAATAAACATACTTTTCTTGCACACACACACACACAACTTCAGTGAGAGTGTTTTTCCAATAGGTGACCTGACTGCATTCTCTACTGTGCAGGCAGGAGGACTGTCCGAACACGGCCCTGTGGGAGCAAGAGCAGGAGCTGAGCCTGTGATGTGGGGGCCACACTCCCACCAGGTGCACGGGGACTCCACTGCAGCCTCCCTCCCTAGCATCCCCCCAGGTCGCTTGTGGAGGGGCCCCCACTGACTCAGCATCCAGAGCTTACAGGTCCAAGACTTGTGACAAGAAGTTCAGTCCGGTTGTTGCTGATTTCCAAACAGATGAAGGCAGTCTGTCTTTCTGAGACAACAGGGATCCCAGGCAGAGCCGCCTCCCTTTCTAAAACCGAACCCACAGAGGTTCTGGGGTCCAGCAATGGAAGGCTTCCAGCTGGAAGTGGCCACAACTTCATTTAATTACAACTTAAAAATCATGTGTTCAGAAGGACAGAATGGTCAATGTTGACTAGGCGGAAACCTCCCCGAAGAGCAGAGGCTTGGGGGCTTTGCAGCACATGTCACCCTGCACCTCCACGGGGCACATGGAAGCTACCCAGGGTGCCGTGGCCCTGGCAGGGCTGCTTTCACCAAAAGGAATTCCATTCCGATGGGCAGAAGCCCACAGAGGCCCTGCTCACCTGCCCAAGTCGGTCACTTCCAGCCCAGTGTGTTCCCGGGAAGCAGTGCTCTGCCACACAGCGTCACGCTGGGTCCACTCAAGTGCACATTATACGCCAATAAATAATAAAGCCTGCCCAGCTATACCACATTTCCATGGTTATGTTCTGCCAACAGTGAATGAAATTCCTTGTCACTCAACATCCTCACCGGCATCTCATATTTTTAGTTGTTTTGGAGTCTAGCCTCTTTAACAGGCATTCTCCCAGAGCAGTTGATCCAAGAAGTCAAGGCAGAAGTCACAATGCCCTATATCACGTAGACTCAGAGGTCACCGGCCATCACCTCCCATACCAGTGGTCAGCCCTGGTACACCGTGGGAAGGGAACTGTGTGCATGGGTGTGAAGACCAGGAGGTAGGGATCATCTTGGAGGCGGGCTACCACATACACACAGCAGAGTTTCTCTTCCAGATAGGGTAATGCACTCTGCCCAGATTAACTGCTGTGAGGCCTCTCCCACTGAATCCAGTTCACAGGCTGTGCATCTGGGCAGCTGGCTTCCACTGACTGCCCAGTGAGGTGAAAACCAAGTCTCATCCAGGTGAATCCCTTCTTTAAGGGACACCAAGGCTTAGTTACGTTTCTGCGACAAAACAGAATGTAGGTTTCTGGGATATGATTTGCCAGGTCACTGTCCTGAGGGCTGGTAAGTGGCTGGCTCAGTAAATCTGGTAGGTGTGAGGTCAGGCCCTTGATCAACTTGCATGTCCCACATACCTGGTAGTCTTGAAGTAGGAGCCCCGTCAGAGGTTTGGCACGGGGAAATTCTAGTTCTGAGGTCATCAAGGTTCCATATTAATACCTGTGAAACCAGCCCAGGTCTCACAAACGTGAATGTCATCCAGGCATCAAAATACCCTGGGTTCACACCAAGTGGGATTGGACCTGAGGAGGCCCTGGCTTCTGTGGGCTTTCAATCTACCAGGGCGAGGCCATTTGATGTTGGGCTTTGCTCCTTTTGGTCTTCGATCTGAAGTTATCTGATGATTTAATTTCTCCCTGGGAACCCATAATAGGAGAAAATGTTTCCTTAAATTTGGGACACTTCTAGGTTTCTATGAATTATTTGGAGGCATTTTAATTTTCCACTTAATATTACTGAGGATTCCTGGTGACCCATATCGAATGACAAAGGTGGACATGATTGGTGTAGGGGAAATGGATGTAGGAACAAATGCTCTGTCTTACAGTTAATTAATATACTCTGATCATTTCAGAGCTTTTGGAGGTCAAAATTTTTCTGTTTCTGCCATTTATTGAGGACTTTCTGTCCCTTTGTTGACTGTCTGCCTCCCCAAGTCAACTAATTCTTAGGCTGAGATCTGTGAGCCCACTTGACTGCAAGTATATATCACATCCTCAAGGTCAGCCTTATCAATATTACCTGTGATGTTTTGGCTTCCAGACCCTCCTCTGACTTACATGGCAGATGGCTCAGCACTCAGGGATGGCATTTTGGGGGAGCCCCAGTCAAGAACTTAACCATGTTCAGTCTCAGCTGATTACCTCTGCTCTCCTTTACAGAGAAAAGCAGAGGCCACCAGACAGCATGCCCCACCTCCCTAAACACCCAGCTCCTGTCCCTGTGTGGGTCTTCACATACTCTGGCTCATTATCCAGGGAAGGACTGACCTAAAGGCCGTCAGGAAGCCTCAGGAGCACCTTCTTCTGGTTTCCCTCCCACTCTTTGCCTGCACCTTAATGCCCTTGCATGTTCATCCTGCAGGCGCAACTCCTACACACAGGATTTTCTCAAGTCCTTTTTTTCTATTCCCTCTGCCCATTCTCCACAGATGGAGCATGCTCTTAGTTGCATCTATTTCCTCATTCTTCTTTTTCTTAGGGTTCAAAACTGGTCCACCCTCATTTGTCTTGGCAACCAGTCCCAGTTCACCAGGCCACCCCCACAGTCACCATCTCTTTGCATGGGCTCTGATTCCATCCACTGAGGTGGGGAGATGCCTCTGCTGGGTGGCTACTGGGAGATGTTGTTCTCATGCTTACTAAGAAAGACACACTGGGAAGAGCTGCTTTTTTAGCTGTTGACCTGAGGTAAGAGGCCTGGTCCACTCTGGCCATCTTGCTCCCTTTGCATCCCAGAAACCCAGTCAAAATGTTGAGAATACAGAGCAGAAAGACAGAAAGATGGGCTATTTATGTCAAGGTGAGGTTCAACCCTATCCCCTGCTCTATGGCCACCCCTCCTTGTTATGAGCTGGTAGATACTTTTGTTGTCAACATCATTTTAAATTGAGCCTTTGGCTACTTGCAGATAATTCTATGCTCTCTTGGCTTCAATTAGCATTGACTTCCAAACTATACACACCTCAATATCACCATGCTGGACTAATCCTCAGTTTCAAATTCCTAAATTAAGGGTTTATGTGGAATCACCACATTGCTGTCTCTAAGGCTCCTTTAACTTCAGCGTGCCAAACCCAAGTATGATCTGTTGCTTTAAGCCTGTTACGGTCCCATGTTCTCCACTGCACGACTCATGCAAATGGACCTGTAGATACCTTCCCTGCTGTCTCCTTTGCCTGCACCCTTCTCAGCCATCCCCCATCCTAGGAAATACCTCTCCAACTCAACTTCTCTCCTCCTTGCTGTCTGGCTCTATCTCAGCCCCTCTTTGTCATGCCCCCTGCTGCCCCACCGAGTGCTGCTTACTAACACTAGTCTTTTCCCGCAGATGGTGGTCGCCATGCCCCCAGACCAGGCCTGTTTCGGTCACCATTGTCTCTCCAGTGCTGGCACTGCTGTCTCCTAGAACATCCAGGAAGGACTCGGTCCTCCCAGACATGACCTTCCAGAGTGTGTGCACCCCAGGGGCGATGAGTCGCAGGAAGTTAATAACAGAGTGAGGAATGATTTCTCAGGTCGCTTTCTTCTGCCACTGAAAAGACTGACTTACACGCATTCAGTATCTTGCTCAATTACCTGCTCACTGGGTGTCCACTGGGTATCAGGCACTCTGGGCAGAGAGAGGAGGAATCCATAGGCACCGCCGTCACAGACAGGCAGGCACAAAGCCCTTGTCATGCTGCATGTGTCTGTGTGGGTGCGCTCATCACGGGTGAGGACTCACGTGTTGTGACCCATCGCTTCATTCTGTCTCAGGTTTCTTCTGGCTTTTTAAAACATCCCTTGGTTTCCTCGCCTTATAGAATTCAGAGGTTTGGAAGAACAGTGAACATCTGCTTGTTCAGAAGGAAAAACAAGCCCAGAGTCTTGGCTGAGGCCAAACAGCAGCCTAGGGCCACTGTAGGACTGGAGTGGTCTCTCCTCAGCCCTCCTGGGCTACCACCTGCATCCTCCCAGTGGCTCTGAGTCCCCCCAGCTGGACTGCATCAGCGGGGGTCCACAGCCAAAGGGCTGACCAGCTATCCCTGGCCCTATCAGCTTACACACCCACGAAATCTGGAAAGTTCCCGGAGACTGGGCGCCTGCCCACAACCCTCTCTGGGAGAGTGGCACACATCCTGCTGTGCCCTGTCCCGGTCCCAGAAAGGACTATCTGCACCTTGAACTACTTATAAGGACAGGGCTAGGTCTGCTTCTGCAGATACTAGGGGAAGTGTTAGCGAAAGACCCACCCTGACCTTTGGGGCAGGGGGGTGGGGGAGTAGGTCTCAGGCCCGCCCACTCCAGCAGCCAGGCTGCCTGTGCTGGGTCTATGGCGGTCTGCAAATGACCCAGGCAAAGCTGCGTGTCAGGGAACAGAGTGGGAAGTCCCCAGATGCAGCCTCTGTCCAGATGCATTGGGGGGCAGAGGCTCCCCAGCAGTGAGGGGCACATGGGGCTCGCCAGAGGGTTTGTGTGTCTGGTTTTGTGACTGGGCTGATGGCTTCATCGGATACTGTGAGTTAAGATGAGAAGTTGTATTTGGGAGTGTGCAGGAGAGAGTTCTCAGCCAGCAGTGTGGAGAGTGAGGCCATGAGTGAACCTGAGGTGAAGGTGGAGTAGCTCTGACGGCGGTTTGGGGTTTTGCAATCTTGAATTCTCTTAACACCCTCAAACGTATGACAACAGGCATAGAAAAAAACCAGATGAGGGTCATGCAAGATGAAAGTTTTATCAGACACGTGATTCAGAAAGACTCAGAGCCAGGAGGTTGGGCGACTGCTCCCAGCACTGCTGAAACGGTGGACACTGGGGTTTCGTGCCCGCCACGTCTGCAGAGCAGCTGGGAGGAGAGGGTCGTGTGCCTGTGCCTCATGAAGAGGCAGTGGGCAGGGAAGGGGTGCTTGGCTCCTGGTTTTGGAGGTGCAGCGCCAAGGAGGACTTCCAGGGGCCACGGTGCCTCTCAGCGGCTGCTGTGCAGAGCAGGGCTGGGCTCCAAGGAGCAGGCAGAGGAGCAGGCAAGTGGGTGCTGGGCAAGGGGCCCAGGGCACGGAGAGTTTGCACAGGCTGCAGGCAGGAGACGGAGACCCTGGGGGTGGGTGGGAGTGCTGCGCAGCTGCAGCTGGGCAAGAATGCCGGAAAGTGGTGTCCCCAGGGAGCAGCCAATTTACAAAAGGGAAGAGCAGGGAACATTCACAGAAGAAAGAAGGGCCTGTGGCCACGGGGTAGTTTGCAAGCAAGGGGAAGGGGACAAATGGGGCTTTGGAGAAGGGAAGGGAAGCTGAGGCCCATGCAAGGACCTTTCTTTCTTTGATCAGGCTTTGCACAGCTGTGACAAGCATGTCCAGGACACAGATGGTTTTGCTCAAATGTCCTTCTTGGTTTGAAGCCGTGACACATTTCTAGTGAAGCAGCACCAGCAGAGCCCAGGGGTTTGCTCTCTGACCAAGTTGTCCTCTAAACAAGTGAGCAGGCCGAGCTGGCCTCAGCATGTGCTGGTAGGCAATGTTTCTGCCTCACTGACATGGGTCACTGACCACAGATGCCTGTGTGGGACTGGCTTAGGTGCAGTTCGCTCCACTCATACTTATAGGACTTGGTGTTTTGTATCGTCAAAATGTAAAAAGACTCTGATACTCATAGAACATTCTTGTCTGAGATTGGGGCTCACTTTCTGGTTATTGGCTAGTGGCCAAGAGTGGAGGAGCATTTCCTTGCAGTGTGTCCCGAGGGGAGAAAAGCTCTGGCACTTTTCCTGCTCAACCTGATGGTTACTGGGCACCATGAATGGGCAGATTTTGGGCATTGATGCCACTGGCAGGGAAACCTGTTGTTAGACACACCTGTGACCAGTAATGGATACACAGGACTCCTTCTCCAGTCTCTGAGCTCCACTTCAGACACAGAAGTAGAGAATGTACTATTCCCAGGGAAAGACGGGTGAGTGGGACCAACCCCTGGAGTCCAAGAGAATGCAATCGTTCACCCTCTCTCCCTGGCTGCATAGTGCATTCTCCTCCGTGTGTCCTGGCCCCCAGGAGAAGCCCGGTCAAATGTGAGCCCCACAGTTCCCCCGGCAGGGCTCCTTCACCCTGATATGCTCTGCATCAGCTGCTGTGCCGTACCATCCCACCCCGGCTCCTGCGCTGGGCTGTTTTATCTCTGAATCTGATGTCTGTTGGTCTCTTGCTCCAGTGACTGTCCACATTGCAGGGAGGCCCTGATTTCCTGAGTGCACAAGAAAGAGGTGGCATTTAAGGGGAGGCAAGGAAAGAGAGGGAGAGCGGTGCAGCACAAGGCTGGCCACCGAGGTGTATTTTGGTGAGGTGTGCAGGGGAATGTCGTCTTCCAAACCCAGAGTCAAGGTCACATCACTAAGTCATCTACAGTCAGGATTTTAGGACCCACACACTTGACCTCTGACTTCACCAGCTTGCGTTTCATGGAGCCTTTCCCCATCTGACCCTCCCAGGTCCACAGTCCACTCTGGGCATGCCTTGTAACTGTCCTTATAGCCATGGTGCCCCACTGGACCCTACTGGACCCCACTGGACCTCGAGGCCTTTGTTCCTCTGTGGCTGCTGGTCCCACTGGCTGAGTCCAGCTGGTGATGCTTCACTTTTTCCGTCTCTCACTGAGATAAACCTGGTCTGCATGTGATCACACCTAGCAGGGAGACGAGCACTGGCAGAGTCAGCAGCTGCCCTGCATGTAAAACAATTGGTTGTAGGAGGCAAGAGGCCTAAGATGTCCACCCCTACTGGGTGCCAGGGAAATGGGCATGAATAGGGAGCTGGGCAGACAGTGACCCTACTTCTGCCCCAAACACCTGTTCCCATCAGTAGGAAGAGCTCTGTCAATGACCTTTCCTTTGATGTCGCTCCCTTTCTTATACTTTGTGCAGATGGTCAAGGATATGGAGGCTGGAGCAGCTTCCCCTCAGGGCGTGCTTTGCTTGTCAGGCCAGGCTCTGGGGGCGGGGGCTCAGATGAGCACCACTTGTCTGCATGGAGCCTGTGGCGGGGAAAAGAGGGTGGCTCAGAGCCAAGGGCCATTGCCAGGAGGAGTTGAGGGTCTGCTGCTGAGAGCAGCTGGGGTGGCACTGTGCAGCCAGGAGGGCCACCTGGGAAATGTGGGCGCCCAAGGTCATGTTGCCGGGCAGAACCAGGACTGAGCCCGGCTCTCCCAACACCAGGCAGCTGTTTCCACACAGCTTGCGTTTGAGGGGCACTTTGTCCTCCCCTAGCCTGCTCACCCAACACCCATGTGATCCTCAAAGTAACCAACCAAAACCAGCAAGGGAAACAGGCAGTCCTACCTGTCTGTATGCCTGGCACCTCTGGTCCATTTCTTACTTCATTGTCTTTGGGGAACTGATATCCTCTGAGGCCTGCCTTCTCTGCTGAGATGGCACAGAACATGCGGGGGCCACAAAGAGTTCAGAAGACGGAAGGGCTCTCCTTCCTTCATTCCTGGCCCCTGGGGACTGAGGTGATGGTGCCTGCAGTCCTGAAGCAATGGCGTCCTGGGTAAGCGGGTGAGGAAACGGCACTCCCCCGCCCCTGGCATAGGAAACCATATTGCTGTTTTCTGGAACAGTGCCCACAAGCCAATGAAAAGGCACCCGTGGAAGTCAGCGCCATCCCCGGGACGGCCCAGCAGCAGCTCCAGCTGACTCACTCTCACTGAGGTGGCAGCTTTTATTCCTGCATCATTGGCTGTGGCTTGTTGGATAAACCACAGTGCATGTATAGAATGAATTTCTCATCATCCTGAAACTGAAATGACTTCTGGCTTTATATTTGGAGGAGGTCAGTTACTTGGACACAAGAAGAAGTGGGAATTGAGCATAATTTATCACAAAATAGGCAGAGCTGCAAAAAACCCCTCTGAGCTCTTAGGAAAGCAGGTGGTCTGGGGCCAAATGACAGAGGGGCACAGAGGACAGGTGGATCTCAGGCCTGCCCCTCAGAGGGAGACCAGGGAGCCAGGATGCCCAGCATTCTCTGCTTCTGGCATGGTGCAGAGGCTGCTGGGACCTGGTGTGAGTGGCTCGGGCCTCAGGGACGGCAGTGGACAGCTCTGCCCGCTCTGCGATGGCCTTCTGCTAGGAGGAGAGTACATTGTGAGAACTCCCTTGGGGGCCTGAGTGATCCTAATATTGAACACTGACGAGACACCAAGACACATCCTTGACAGGTCTGCTGCAGAGCTGGGAGCTTTGCCAAGGCCTGCGCATGGAAGGGAGGCATCTGCTCTGCTCCTGACAAATGTTTGCATCCATCATGATTGGCAGGTGCAAGAGGGCCAGGGAGGTCAGTGTCCTGCCCTGCATTCCCTCGCTCTTTCTTTCTGAGATCAAAGTGAAAAGGCTGAAGGACAACCCAGTCAAGCCTCCGAGCAGGAGCCGCAGAGAAACCCCGGTTGCTCCTCTGTTTGCGCTGGCTGCAGGGGACAGTCATGCAGAAGTTTCTTCCCGTGAATGGGCTTGCCAAATAGGGTGATCAGCAGGGCGGCCAGGCTTTGCTGTCACTCGGTTTCTGGTACACAGGGCAGGTGGAGTGTGAGTGTGGTGGACATCAGTCCACACGGTGCCGGTTTTGAGTCACCTCAGTGTTAGCAGAGTCCTGGTGCATGCGCACAGGGTCGTCCGATTCTTCTTGAGAGCCACACATGTCAGACTTGGCCCAGAGCCTTCACAAAGCGCCCTCTTATTCTCAGGTCATGTTTTCTTCCAGGTGAGGTTATTTTGGTTTTTTAGGTACTCTTCTTTCTCTCTGCCATTTCTTCTGCTTTTTCTCCATTTTCTAAAGAAAGTTTGAATAAGTGGCACACATTGAGCAGCTTTTCTCCAAGTGGGGGATTATAACAATATTTTCTGTATGTTGTTGACTCAAGAAGTTGAGAGTTGCATCCAACTCTACAAATCAAAGCTGGGCAGGCTGGAAACAGCCCTTCTGTGGGGCACGCCTCCATCTTTCCCTCCTTTCTCTGTGTCTCTGTTGGCTGTTTGTTGTTCGAAGTGCTAGTGAGGGGGTTGGTGAGATCTGAGACTGGCTTCATTTTGCCTTCTCAAAACAGCAAATTCTATTTTAGAATATGGGTGAGGTCTGCACCCAGTCCCCACCTCAGGCAGCCTGGAGAGCAGCCTGGCAATCCGCACCTCTTGGCTGTCCACTCCTGCCTTGTCCCTCCCCGACTGTGGATGGACCGAGGCTCCCTTCCCGCAGGTGAGTGCAGCAGGTGTGATGGGACGCCCCTGCCCAGATTAGGGCATGGGAGACTGGTTTCCACCGTGCCGCCTGGGTCTTCACAGCTGGCTTGCTGCACTCAAGCAAACAGGAGCGGCCCTTGGTGACAAGACATCCCTTGTCACCAGCCAGAAAAGACCCTGAGGACCTGCCAGCAGCCTTGTGAGTGTCTCCGAAGCTGGTGTTCTGCCAGACAAGCCTGAGATGCTGCAGCCCTGGCTTCTGCCGTGGCTGCAGCCTATGCATGGTTCTGAGTCAGTCCCCACTGAGCCATGCCCTGACTCCTGACCAGGACACCATGAGAGCGAACAGAGGACTGATCCCATCACAGAGTTCTGGGGAAATGTTTAACGTGGCAGTAGATAACTAAGACAGCCCTTACGGGAGTTTTCACCAACTGTCCTGTGCAGGCACATGAGAACTGTCCTGGGTGGGGGCTTGTTTAAAATGCACACATTTGGTGCTACCCGCAGCGAGTCCAACTGCTGAGTCTAGAGCGGGCCCTAGAGCTTCTGAGGCAATTCAAGGATGGACATCGAGGAATGCTGCCCAAGGCCTCGGGGACCCTGTGAGCACAGCTCCACGTCCCTGTCGGAGTGCCAAGGGTGGAGACCAGCTTTGTTTACGGTCATTCAGTGCCATCTGTTGAGTGATCCCTGGGCAGAAGCACTGTGCCACTTGAGGGTTGCATATTCCAGAGAAGGCTGCAGAAGTGTCTCCTGCCCAACATGCTCTTCTGCAAGGTGAACTTGACATTCCCCTGCTCTGAGGTTGAGTCCAATTCCCACCCTTGATCCTGGGCTGGTCTCACGACTCAGTTGTGACCAGCAGGATGTGGCTGAAGTGATCCTGTGTGGCTGCCTTGGCTGGGCCAGTGAACCATGCTGTTGGCCTGCTTCTTCAGGATCTTAGTGCTAAGGAAGCCAGCCTCCATGTAGGAAGGTCGATTTTCTTAAGATCACCATGTCGCAGAGGCCATGAGTACACACTTTAGTTGCCAGTTCTACTCAGCTGTCACCTAACAGCCAGTGTCCCCTGCCAGCCACGTGAGTCATTGCAAAAGGCCAGCCCATTAAGCCTTTGGATGAATTCTGACTCTGACCCCTTAATAAGCCATTTCTTTCCGAATTGTTGATCTACAAATCATGAGCAACAAAAATTAGGGGCTTTAAGCAGCTAAGTTCAGGGTACTTCATTACACAGCTGTAGTGGAACACTACTCAAGCTGGAAATACAGATTAAAAGGCATGTTTTCTGCTCTCAGTTTAATGACCAAAACCATGGAAATAAAGAATTATAATGAAATAATAAAATGATTGTGACTTTCTGGGGATCACATGCAAACAATGAGCCTGGGAGAGGAAAACCATGCTCAGCATTTCAGCTGAGGTTTGAGAAAGAGTGGAGGTTGCCACCCTCCCAAGACATGGGCAGCACATCGGGGTGAGCCACAGGCCCCAAGAATTACAAGCAATTCAGCCAGAGGACAGACTTCAAGGGAGGGGGTGGGACTCATGAGAAGGAGGTGGTCTGTCATGGACGAAGGGGCCACCATGTAGGACGCCTATTCTACCAGGCAAAAGAATGCTGATTTTATCCTGTCCCAGTGGGTGAGCCTCTGGAGATTTTGGAACATGCTTATCTAGGTGGTATAAACATCCATTTGTTGGTGAAACAAAAAGCAATAACTCTTGAGTGGAAAAAGAACTGAATTGCAACTCAAGCAGTTTCTATTTAAGTCCTTGTGACTCACCCTATACTGTGCAGAGATTGCTCGAGGCTGGTGCCCTCCCTATAAACACCTGTCATTTCCCTGGTTTGCAAAGAGGAAGCAATGAGGTCACACGTATGGAATGCATGTGAGTTTCTAAGAGAAAGAAACCAGATACATTTGAGATATTATTATCATCACCCTAGCCATCTGGAAGTCAGCTTTCTAGCAAACCTGAGAGTTCAGAAACCAGAAACTTCAAAATAAAGGAAAGAGAAAGGTATCTGACCCCAGAGAAAGCAGGAAGTAGATATGGAAGGGACTGAAGAGTGGGAGATAACACACAACAGGATGCGCCTGGCCGTGGAGGAAATGCTCGCACTCCTTAAGGGTAACAGCACAGCTATCCAGAAGGGGGTGGTGCCCTGGGGGAGGATGAGCAGGAAAGAGGGGAGAGAGCAGATGGGCGGGATGAGGCAGGGATCAGAGGGCCCCAGCAGGCAGTCTGGGAGCCTAGAGGGCGGGTGAGCTGGCCTGGGTAAACTGAAGTCCAGGGAGAGTATGGAGGCAGGGGGGCCGCAGGCTGTTTTGGGAACTTCCTGCAGATAAGGGGGTGTGACCTTCCGCTTTGACAATGTGGATGCAGCAGATGTTTCTAAGCAGAGAGGTGGAAAAAAAACCCAGATGTTCCAGGAGGACCCCTGGTGGGGCTGCGCAGCAGTGGACTTCAGTGTGCATGTGTGAGGAGAGGCCCAGGGGACAAGTCTGGAGCGGGGAGAGAGGCCAGATGAGATGAATGAACAGGACAGTGGCTGCTTGGAAGGCCATATAGACTCTTCTGTTGTAACACCGTTTCAGCCACGTGCCAGGCTTAAAATAGCTTTTCCATGTGTCCACACCACAGGGCCTCCTGAATCAGGCTGCCCTTCTTTGCAGAGCAAACACCTCCTGAGGAGTCCCAAGATTTTCTTGTGTGCCCTGCATGGACTTGAATGCACTGGGTCTGTAGTGACACAGACCAGAGGCCCAAACCAGACAGGGCGTTCCTTCGGTGTTGTGCCTCTGCACCCATGTTAACTCAAGATCCATGGCTGCCTGTGGTGGGCGGGAGACTGCAGGCTCACACGGCCTCTTGCTGCAGTCTCCCGCCTGCAGCACACATTCCAGAAGATTCTGGATCTTTGAGAAATGCTTCCCTATATCACATTCCCTCTCCCTGTCCTGTGTGAGAGGAGAGGCAGCCTTCTGCCCTTGTCCTGAGACCTTGCACATTCTTCCCCCTTCCACAATGGTGCTCGTTTCCTTCGTCTAGCCAGTTCAGTGCTTCCCAAACTTAGCTGCATGTTGAAATCATCTGGAGAGCCAGTGTCTCACCCCATACAGCTATGGCGGGGTCCCTGGTGGTGGGATCAGGCGTGGCTTCCTCCCCAGGCCCACCAGGAGGCCTGTGAGAGCCGCTGCTCTGACTCCCCACAGCCCCTCCTGCAGCCGCGGCTCTGTGAGAACTGCCGGCCACGGTGGCAGTTGTTGGCATGCCCTTGCCCACCACCCA